TGTGTGTGTGTGACCGCTGTCTGTTTGGGTACATTGTTGGAGTGTTGCTTCAGCCTCATTTTTTTATTGTATTGAGGCCATGGTGGCCAGCCGGGGAGCAGTATTTGCATGGTTCAGCACATGCAGCTATATATACCCTGCAGGATGGCCGTTTGGCCACGGGCGTATCAGGCTATATATAGAAGTCTTGGTCCACTAATGACCAAAATGAAAGATTTGACAGTGTCATGTTCGATGTACTGGTCGCTTATCACTTTTTTCTCGCAAGGGAAAAGGATTAGCAAAATGACAGTTTATTTTTCTGCCTTCTGGCAGCTTCATTGTTCCATTTCAGGAACCAATTGGGCTTCATGGTGCATCAAAATACAATAAATAAAATTTGAAAAAGAGTCCAATACATATGTGCGTGGTGGCTGAATGGTTCCCATGTGACAGGCACCAATGTTTTTTTTTTTTTTTTTTTAGTTTTTGATTGGCAGACACCAATGTTACAGGGTAAAAATTTGGAAATTCAAAAGGGTAAAGGAAAATGCAAAACGCCGTTCAACGCACGATGTCGAGGTATTAAAACCTGTGACCTGGAACTGAATGCCGTGGCCTGTGCTCACTCTGTCTTGCACGTCAATGCAATACTCTGCGTGTGCTCATCATGCATGGCTAGGAAGTGCTGGCGATCCTCTGCCGCATTGATTTTAACAAAATCGGCGTTTTGGGTAATCAACGTGAGCCCCCATAACTTGGTCAGTGGTGAGCTGGTCTCAGTACTAGGGTCCCAGCTCAGTTGAAGCTTGATGGTGGGGCCCTACTACTGGTAGGGCTTCCATATGCCAAGCTGTGGGTGTCGCATTCAGTGGGTGTGTCATCGTGGGACACTGGGGGTACACTCACTCCAGGACTATATGGGCTGAATTCAGTCATCATTGCGGTCAGATACGTTCAAGGATGTCCACAGCGGAGTATGCCCTGAGATTTGTTTCGTTCTGTGGTGATCTTGTTCACTCTGACGAAAGAATCGGGTGCATTTGCTTTTTTACGCTGTATAATCCTGTATTTGAATTTTTCTCTCCTTTTGAGTCTGGTGCCCACCAGAGAAACCACAAATCTTTGGAGGCAGATGAACAGCTACAGTGCCTAAATAACTGACACTGCAATCGAAGGGGTCCCACCTCTGCTGGGGCTGCTGGGGCCCAGCCCTTACTTTCCTTCCACCATCTGCTCTTTCCAAGCTTAATCGCCGGAAACTGGCATAAAGTAGTTTTGGTAGAGGGCCACTGTTTAGGACTCCTAGCGACTGTCTGGCTTGTGGAGCTATAAGACGCTTGCTCTGCCTCAGTCAAAAGCCATAATTCGCACCCCTATCTGCACACTAGCCCACATCCACAAGCAGGTAAGCAGGTAAAACATCTTCGCTTCGTAGCATCAGCTCAGTACTGCTTTTTCACCCAGAAATGCAGAAATGAAAACAGAATCGCTAATTTCACACTCGACGCACGCTTAAGTGGGAGTCTAACATCTTTGTTAGTCTGTTATACTCTGCAATGATCAGTCAATGATGATGCAGACAATCACACGTACTTGCTCACCGTTTCTCCTGCCCAAGTCTATGCTCATGTAGGAACTGTGTCATCGAGAACTGTGCAAGTGCATTTTTCCAGATTGGCTGAACTGTGAGCTTCTTGCTCAATTGTGTATACACATGGAACTTTGTGCTCTGCAAAGAACCAGTGTCCACATACCATTACGAACCATCCATAAACAAAAACAGTATAGATGAGCAATATAATGGAAGGTGCAAGGTTCCAAAAAAAAAAAAAAAAAAAAAAAAAAAGGTGGTGGAAGGTTCCCCACGCAGCTGTGGTTGAGCGGGAAGTGCCCACACACCTGTCTGCTGCCGAGGCGGCACACTTGCACAAATATATATATATATATATATATTCAATCTGTGAGGATCTTACCCCTCGGCATACCTGCATACGGGCCCTGAATTCGTCAATTTTCGCAAATCTTGGTGGGCGCCAGACAGTTGCCACGCGCCAGTTGGTTACATCTGCCTTGCTCGTGAGAATCTGAAATATTTGTGAGCCTTCCAGGCTCTTCCAGCAACGTGGAGAAAGAGGGGAACACCGCACGTTTGCGCCTGGGTGGGTGGGCATTCCTAACCAATTCGGTCCCAGGCCACTGTCTGAATGGGCCTGGGCGTAGACACTTTCGCCCAACTTCAGGCTAGAGGGCACACACATGGCCCAGCCAGGCGGCAAAGCTGCGGAGCACTTTCCATTTAGGAAAGTGCCTGCTAAGGAAGCAAGCATTGGGGGCACATGCAAGCGCATGCGGTAGCGCTGCTGGAGCTGAGGCTTGCGCGGTGCTGTGTGCTAGCGCTGTGAGGGCGCTGATAGCAGGCAGCGCCATAGCCCAGCCCTCATAGCCGGGCTTTGGCTTGGACAAAGCTGGCGGAGGTGGTGGAGGTGGTGGAGGTGGTGGAGGTGGTGGAGGTCTTCATGTTGAGGGGAGACGTGGATGAAGAAGACGAGGAGAGAGAGAGAGAGAGAGAGAGAGAGAGAGAGAGAGAGA